GCCCAGCGTCTTACAATGAGTGGATAACTAAAATGTGGTCTATGCTCACAATGGGATACTACTCAATTCTAACAAACGATAGCGAGCTAGCACCACTTATGCTATCCTGGATTAAGCTCAAGCCCGTTATCCAAAGTGAGGCGACACAAGATGTGGAAAATGGGCTCCACATCTACTCACCATCAAATGGGTTCTGACTGATTAAAACTATGGTGCTCAAATGGTGGTAGTGCTCACCAGGGTTGGGGGGGGCGGAGATACACATCTTAGGGTTGTGGTAGACATTGGCGAGGGAGGGATGGTAGGGAAAGGCAAAGATATACAATGTAACCCAAAGGTCAAAAAAAGAAAAAGAAAAAAAAACTTTTCTTGGGTGGTGGGCAGATGGGAGGGGGGAGGAGGGGCAGGATATATACTTACAAAATAGGTGCAATGCGCACCACCTGGGGGTAGGACACGCTTGATGTTTTGGTAAGGTGGGGGGGTGAGGGGAGGAATGGCAGGGGCAATATATGTAACCCTAACAATATTTGTATCCCCATTATATGATAAAAGTTAAAAAAAAAGGGGGGGCCCCGTGTTACACAACGAGTACTGGCAAAGTTAATTGATGCTAGATCTCAACATGATCCCTACCTGTAGAAGGCTTAGAACGGAATGGGTCGGTGTTCTTGGCAATATGTAATGCACTCAAGGATTTGAGACAAAATTAGAAAAAAAATAGCTTTATTATACAAATTGTTCAATTTGAGTGAATCTACCCAGGAATCAATGGAGAAGCCAGCGACCTGCAGTGTTGCCCGCAAGACTGGGGAGGCAGAGACAGGGTATGTGCATGATGTGGGCATGCGTGGGGGGGGGCTGCGCGCGTGCACTGACAGAAGTTTCCTTTCCTGCGGAACCACAAAGACAGGGAGTATAACTGTTCCCAGTAGCACCCTTCTCCCCAGGAGCAAAAGACTGATGAAAGTAGAGAAGTATATATGTAAGAAACTAGGCAAAATAAATAATTTCTAAAATTATTGAAAAGAGGGAATTTACAGCAACTTTTTTTTTCTCTTTTGAGCTACGAAATTGGGGCTTAAGCAAATTCAAGCCAGAGAAAGAAGGATCATAGTGTGGCTGCAAAAGCAATGCAACAGAGTTTGTCTCTCTTAAGAATTTACATCTTTGCGATCTCCAGGGAGATGGGAAGAAAAATGACAAATTTTAAAAGGGGCAAAGGGACCCTCAAATTGGAGAGAATTATGACTATTATGCAACTGTCCTCTCCTCCCAGTGTAGATTCAACGAAGAACAGTGCACAGAGGCAGTGTGAGATGTTGTGTGCTGTCTAGACATTTTTAGAAATAAGTGGGTATTTAAATAATAATTGTTAAACTTAATTATTGAATTAGGAGATCATACATAGTTTAGATTTGATTCTGTTAGTGACTGGGCTACATTAAAAGTGCTGATATGTGAAAGCAATCGTCCAGGTCTACACTTTTATTATTTAATACACTTTAACATTAATTGTACATTTTTCTTTTGCCATATAGTAGCCTAAATGAAATAATACTTCTCATGACTCTGGAGGTAACTTACAAATTCCATATAGTATTTTCTCTTATCAAAATATTTTCTCCTAAGGAGTATGCTCCTATAATGCAGCTTGCTCATAACACAAAAGAACCATAAAAACAAATAGAACTTGCTGAGGTAATCTCGAAAGGAGAATTGTAGCATGCTAAACACTGGGTGGCCCTGGTTCAGTTTTGAATCCTGGCTCGCCATTTACTTGCCACGAGCCCCTGGGAATCTCTCTGTGACATAGATTAATCCGCTGTAATCAGGGGATTATTATACCCCTCTTGCTGGGTGAGAGGGCTCAGTAAATAGACTAAAGAAAATCACCTACAAGTTAGTCCATGCTAAATAACACTAGCAATTTAGTCCAAAAGATTATTTTTCTTTTAAGGAAGGTAGGGTCCAAGGTAAGGAAGGGTTTAAGGTAAGGAAGGTAGGGTCCAAAACAAACTGAAATCAAGCAAAGCCAGAGAGGAGCAGCAAAGGTTTGCCCAACCCCCAGCCCTAACTAGACCCCCAGAGTTTCATCTAACCAAACCACAACAAATCAAAGTGAATACTTCTTTCTTTTCATGTGATATCTTCAAGTCAAAGATCAAGCAGGTTGGGGGGGAGGAGGGCATGGGTAAATTCACACCTAAGGGTGCCATCCACACTGGGGGATGGGCACAATTATAGTTCTGACTCAGGTGGTGCAAAGGCAAAATCAAAGAAAATTAAATATTTAAGAATATATTTAACAAAGTGAGAGACCTACATAGGGAGAACTACAAAACACTGAGAAAAGAAATAGAAGAGGATGTAAACAGGTGGAAAACCATACCATGCTCATGTATCAGTGGAATCAACATTGTTAAAATGTTTGTACTACCCAAAGTGATCTACAGATTCAGTGCAATCTCTATTAAAATACCAACATCATTTTTCATAGATCTAGAAAAATTAATTCTATACTTCCTATGGAACCAGAGAAGACTCTGTACAGAAAAGCAATCCTAAGCAAAAAGAACAAATTGGGAGGCATCAATCTACCAGACTTTAAACTTTACTCCAAGGCTATAGCAACCAAAACAGCATGGCACTGGCACAAGAACAGAGATATAGACCTTTGGAACAGTACTGAGAAACCAAATATGAAACTATCCGCATATTGTCATCTAATCTGTGACAAAGCAGACAAAAATATACATTGGGGAAAAGAATCCCTATTCAATAAATGGTGCTGGGAAAATTGGATAGCTACATGCAGAAGACTGAAACTGGATCCCCACCTCTCACCTCTCACAAAAATCAACTCATGTTGGATAACAGACTTAAACCTAAGGCATGAAACCATAAGAATTCTAGAAGAAAATGTTGGGAAAACTCTTACAGACATCAGCCTAAGGCAAAGAATTTATGAAGAAGACCCCCAAAGCAATCACAGCAGCAACAAAAATAAATAAATGGGACCTGATCAACATAAAAAGCTTCTGCATAGCCAAGGAAACTATCACAAGAGCAGATAACCTACAGAATAGGAAAAAATATTCACATGCTACATAGCTGATAACTAGAAGCTATATAGAACTTAGGAAAATTAACAAGAAAAATATCAAACAATCCTATTAAAAAGTGGGCAAAGGACATGAACAAAAACTTTGAAAAGAAGACTAATGAGAAAAAATAATAATGGCCAACAAACATATAAAAAAATGCTAAACATCTCTAATCATCAGGGAAATATAAATCAAAACCACAATGAAATATCACTTAACTCCAGTGAGAATGGCTTTTATCAGAAAGTCCCAAAACAAATGCTGGTGTTGATGCAAGGAAATAGGAACTCTCTTACACTGCTGGTGGGACTGAAAATTAGTACAACCTCTACAGAAAATAATATGGAGATACCTCAAAGGAATAATTTTTTAAAAAAGCAATATATGTAACCAAAGCGTTTGTACCCCCTAATACTCTGAAATAAAAAAAATTTTTAAATTCTCTATAATAATCAAAACCCTAAAATATGCCTAGTTTTACATTTCCTAAGTATGGACTACGTGACTTCCTCTCTTTTCAAAGGGGTATAACTATTCCTCACACAGTTTCCACAAGTTGTGTGTCATAATGAAGTAAGAGCCACAGCTGAGGGTACAACTCTTATAACGAGTTAAGCAGAGAAGTCCCCAGACAAATGCTTCAGGGAGAGGGACACAAGAGGGACTGGCTGACTCTCAGCCAGGCTGTGAAATCTGTCTTCTGGGAAAGGCAGTTGCACTCTGAGCAAGGGGTCCTCTTTCCACATCGTAGTCCCCCACTGGGAGTGCAAATTAAATTAGGTCTCACTTGGATTTTCTCCCATTACGTTAGCATTTACACAATCTTGCCAATGTTTGGCACTCTGTGAATTCACAAAAGGATGACTTCAGCCTGGATAGTTAGCTCATGTTTTACTGCTGCTGAACAGACCTATCGCTGTCCTATTAAGGGGTACTTACTTGTATGTATGTTCAGTTTTCATTCTGGTGGGCAGACTTCAGTTGGCAAAGTTACTTCACCCTAGAGATTGACATTGCTTGACTTTTTCACTAACCTGAGAAAATGGAAATTTAAAAATATGGCAAAATATTTCCAGGCAGCTGACGTAATAACTGTGTTGTTTTTCTGATTCATTTACAATGAAGTAATCCCCAAGAATGATCTGTCTCTTTGATAAATAGCAGCAAAAACCAAAGCTTAAAAAAATCAATGTAAGAGAAGGATAATTCTTTCTCAAGAATGATGTTCCAGAGTAGCCCAAAGGCTGAGGCTGAAAATATTTATTTTCCTAAGGCTCTTTCATCTTCCCATTACACAAACTTCAAGTATATCCAGAAATTGAAACAAAAATAATTTGAGCTGAAATTCAGCAGCATAAAATTTGGAAGTTAAAACAAGGTAGCGTCAGCAGTATGTCTGCAATGTTTTATTTGCCTGCATAGTCAGCTGATGCTTCTGGCTTCATTTGGATACTTCTAGAAGTACCTATCCATAGATGTCACACTCCCATTATGTGTATATCCTCACAAAGAGGAACGCACGTTGGTCTTAGCAGCATTCTTATTAAATTGGTGAACTTAATACTATTAAATATGCTTAATCTTCAGACATCTGTCATGTTATCATATAGTATTAATATAATTGCAATAAAATTTGGATACATTCTATTTCCTTTTTCCATTGGGTTGAGAAGTCAAAGTTATGCTTTCCATTATTAATTATCCATAGGAAGGTAAAACACAGATTTAACCTTAAATCCATATATCCCTGAACTAATTCTATAAGTCTACAAGGACACAGCAGAGCCATCATCATCCTATTAGAACTTTATCATTCATAATCCATTCCACCTAAAAATGAAGTAGGCTCACAATTTTTCATCATCTTAAAGAAATGATCTGTTTATAGAACAGTTTCCAGTTTACCATTTTATTCAGATTGATCCATTCATTTAATTTACAGAAGTACATACATCTTTTCAATCCTATTTTCAGATTTGCTCAGGCCAACAGTGATGAACATAGGATCTACTCAAACTGGCTAAAGAACTAAGCCCCTATGAAAAAAAATGGGAGCAACCTTAAAAATCTACAACTTCAAAAACTTTTCCCCGAGGGAAAATACACACACACATATATATTTTTTTAAATATATATATATCACACACAATATCACTGCACCAAAAATGAAGTTGCTTAAATCATGGAATCACCCTTGCACACTCAACTGCGGAGAATTTCCAGGAGCGGTGCATAATCCCTCTGCCAAATCTCATTTCAAGGAAACTGGAAGTCGTGCTTGGTTGTGTAACTGGCTCCTCAGACTTGATCAGGATCTGAGCTGTCAGAAGCCCTTTCCTCTATCCATGCCAAAGCGAAACATTACCAGGCACAAATAACAGAGTGGATGATGTGCATTTGCGGCAGAAACAAGCCACAGTAAAAACAAAGCAGAGGACCGCCAGCCAACTGCCCCATCAACCGTTTCCCCTGCTGGTGTAGCTTCTACTGATTGCCCTTCCTTTCTGAGGAGAAACCTAGAAAGAAAACAGCAGAAAAAAATGTTTCAGATTAAAAATGAACATTTCATTTCTCTTCTTCTGGCTTAGTGGTAACATACACTTCAGGGCTGGCAAAAAAGAGAGAGATATTTTATTCATGAGCTCCCCACAAGTTTACACTGAGAAATCAAGAGGCGGGAAATGGACGGTTATTATTTTAAGCATTGACATATGCTTACCATTTTGTGAAATCAGTTGTGGCCTCGTTCTAATCATGCTTAAAGAGGAATGTTCTACACTAATTCTCGTTCTCGCTGGCATTTCAGTGAGTTGGGCATTTGCTTATGAAAGGCAGTCATACATTTTGCTGTTAGGTTCAGTGCTCATCCCAGAGAAAGATAACTTACCAAATGAACTATTTTTTCAAAATATGATACTGGGCATATTATTGTCAAAGCCTAGAAAAGATCGACTGTGATCCTAAGATGTTTCAGTGTGTTTTGAAGACCAATATGAAAAATGTGGACTATTTTATTGGGACCAGGAGACGATGCCATAAATGAGTACCCGAAGGAAGGCAAAAGAGGTTGAATCATGATAACAGGAAAATGAACCATAGAAATGCCAAGAAACAAAGTGTTTTCCTTATTCATGATAACTTAAAAATATGTTGAAAGTTTTATACTTGCTGCTCTGCATTTGGTATATCAAAGACATGCTAAACTAACATTTTGGTAACAAAAGACAAAGAGCAAGATAGTTAGTTACTTATCCAGGCTTAAAAAATTATATTGCTGAGAACTGTGGTCATTACATTAAAAAGATATCTGATATGTTGAGAACATAAATGTGGACTCAGAAGCATAATCCACTGATCTAACCACTCTGAAGTTAAAATTTAACCCATTAATGATAACTATTCCTAGCTATCTTAAAATATTTTTAAAAATTGACTCCTTTGTAATTTGTACAGTGCTCTTGTGCAGTAGGTACAGAATGGAGGTCATAATCCCCATACTTTCGATGGAGAGAGGCTGCAGCCCATGGAATAATCCGTGGCAGAATGTGGATCTGAACCAAAACACAGCAGGTCTTTAGTTTCTGAAAAGGAAAGCAGAATTTTCCTATAGGTACAGTGAAGGCGGGAAGAAACTTCTGCCCTGAGGCTCGCTCTGTAGTTGTAAAGGCAAGAGACATGCCCCGAGGGAGTCACGGGTCCTCAAGGTGGTAGAAAGCAGAACCAGTCCACTTCGCCGCGCTGGCTGGTGGAGAACTCCACGTGATCGCCGTGCCCCTGATTATTTATTACTGTGACAGTCTGTGCTTCTGTACTCGCCAGAGTGAATGTGGAAGTGACCTGAGCATGGCCCAGGGTGTTTGGTGGCAGAGGCCGTCTTTACTCCGCATCAAGGACTGGCTGCATCTGAAGCTCAGCTGGTACGAGGTGGGGAGGGTGCCCACACAGCAGAGTGGGGCAGAGGACCGAGGTGGCTTCGCTCTCTACTGCACTCGCCCCTTAGAATGTGGACGGTTAGGCACAGTCCATAAGAAATAAGCAAACGTGCCTCCCAGTTGGGATGCAATATTTAATATATGTCTTGGTTTTTTTCCCCTATAGTTTTTTATCTTCAATTTCAGAGAATCACTGCAATTTTATTTATGTGGTGGAATTGTGACTATTCTAGACTTGTTGTGTGCATCTTTTTCATCATAGGATCTATGTTAATTAGAATGTTTAGTATTTTCCTATAAAATATAGTTTTAAATAGGAATATATTTACCACTTATATGTTCATGTATGTAATAAATATACTTTTTTTACACTTTATTTAATATTCTCCCAGCAAAATCACTGAGTTGACTAATAAACTGACTTTCACAGCATTAGAACATAGATCAGAAGGCATTTCTCCTGCAATTCTTTTTTAAAAATCTAGAAACAGGGAATAAAATTGTCTCTTCTACATTAACTATTGGTAGAATAATTAAGAAATTAAGTGCATTTTATAAAAGAAAAATATTAATACTTTATCCATCTGTACTGAAAATTGTACAAAGTACAGTCTCTAAGTTCCCTCTGTTTCTTACATCTCTTAAATAGCTTTTACTATTTATGGTGGTTCCTTTATTTTTTCATACTGACAGAAAAAGAAAAACAAATCTAGTCATTTTACTAACATAAAATTATCTGTAATGCTAAGATATAAAGGCAGTCATAAAAAGACAAAGACCAAGAAATAAAGATACAGAATTGGCTTTCAAGAGAGGAGCATCAGAATTTACTAGAATAATATATATTCAAAGTACAATATTATTATATTTTACTTAATAGATACCTTAGAATAGTCTATATTCTAATATAGTTACAATTGGGCTTCTGGAGTCAGACTGTGTGGGCTTGTCTATGTTCTGGGCAATAACAAGCTGTGCGGATTGAACAGGTTACCTTATCTCTATTTCTCTCTGCCTGTTTTCACATGTATAAAACAGGGACAACAGCAGTACTCATTTCATAGGGTTGCTATAAAGTTTTGACGAGATAACGTGTACAAAGCACCTGAAGTAGTTTTTGGCATATAGTTAGTGTCATGACTTGAATTGTGTCCCCTTCAAAGATAGATTTATGTCCTCAAGCCTGGAACTTGTGAATGTGACCATTTTTTGAAATATGACTACAACTTAATCCTGTAATCAGGTTAAAAAGTGGTCACACTGGATTCTGGTGGACACTAATCTCACGTGACTGTTGCATAACACTAACCGGAAGAGGAAATGTGGACACAAACACGGAAAGGAGGGACAATGGCTCCAGGCGGAGCTCAGAGGGGCTGCCAGAAGCTGTCAGAGGCAAGGAAAGATCCTCCCCTAAGGGTTCAGAGGGAGCCTGACCCAGCCAACACCTTGACTTTGGAATTCTACCTTCCAAAGCTGTGAAGAAAAAATGTCTGCTGTTTTAAGCCACCTAGTTTGCGGTATTTTGTTATGGCAAGCCTAGGAAATGAATTCAGTCAGTATTCAGTTAATTAGTTATTATTAGACATTACTATAGGCCAGCTATAATATTTAGGCTTTGATCTTCTATATTGTAAAGAAATGATTAAGTTTGCTCACAGCACAAACTCACAAGCCTACATTTCATGCCTTTCCAAATACACAAGAATCGAGCTCAAGCTCATTAGACAAAGTTCAACTCGGTACCATATGAAAAATTTGGAATGTACAGAAGTGGCTGGCCTGCAATGCAGTCAGAAAACTTAGCTTGCTGACATTTCAGAAGGAAGGAAGAAACAACATGTTTTCAAGGTTATACTAACTCTACTATGCCATAATTGCTCTGGAAGCATGGAAATCATTTTGCATCTTATTCTGATAACAGATGAAACAGGATCAAAATGTTCTTTTGTAAATGTTTCTAAACAGAAACTGTAACTCATTAACATCTGTGGACTTCAATGTATTAAAAACCATCATTATTTAATGCTATCAAGACAGAAAGCCAAGTCTCAAATGTCTTGAAAACCTTCATTTAAAATCTTCAGTTTTTGAAAGAAAAGTTGATTTTCAATGTGTCGCCAAAGCATTCTAAAACAGCCACAGATAGCAATGGGGCACAGCTGAAAATTAGTTGACTGGAAGACTGTTTGATGTGGTACTCGGCACCTATAGTCCCTGGCCAGGGGCCCTTCATGGACCCCCACACTTTGGAGGACTCTGCTCTGGCCCTCCCCCAGCCACATGTCTGCTCACAGCGCGACTATCCCTTCCTCCAGAACAAGCTCCTGCCACTCAAACGCAGACCCCCAAATTCACTGTCCAAATGACCCTGGGCCTGCTTCTAGGACTCATGTTTTCCTCTTCGCAGGCCTGAAGGCTGTCTAAGAAGTGCTATTTGTAGGGTAGTGAGGGGCATACGGACACAGCTGGTATGTGCCAGCTGGGTTGTCCCCAAGTCTACGCTCAAGAGTCCTCACAGTCAGAAAGTGGGAGGAGAAAGGGGTGGGTCCCAGGCAGGAGGCCAGCACTCAGGGCTCCCTGTGCCACAACGTTCTGGCACAGAAGTGGTTTGAATCTGAGCATTCTGAATTTTACTCTGGGTAGGAGGAGAATAGACTATGACAGTTTCTGAGATTGAGTCATTTATTTGCATAACTATATATATATAAATACTACATAGCATACAGCTCTCCATTTATTCTTGTGCTAGGCCCCAGAAATGTTAGAGGAGAATCTAGTGGCATTATTGAAATGTAATCACCTGTCATGCCTTTTATTAATCAAATGCATGAAGCTAGTCTCTGTGAACATTTAATCGAGCTTCTACTTCAGGTTTCAGTGTTATAAGAAGATACTAGGATAAAAATATAATGTGATACATTTATTGGGGGTCAGAAAAGTAAATTTTTCAGGAGTTATAGGAAATTAATAAAAACAGAACTGGCTGATCTATAAAGCACAATATACTAGTCAATATTAACTTAAATATCCACATTTCTAAAAGGTTCATTTCTTTTAAGTAAGAGTAAAATATTATAAGTATTTATTAAAGGTATAAAACAGGAATTTTAAGAAATAATTTTTGCTTATATATTATCAGATATATAGTTTTAATTTTCTACTCATTTTTCTTTCCATTGCTTAAATTTTCATATTTTCAGCCCAAAATATGGTATATTGACTAGTAGTATATTCTTGAATATATTAGTCATATAGTAAAACAATGTCTACTATCATAACAAAAATGTCTGTATAATCAAAAGATTTTTAAACCTGTGATTCCCTAATGATCGATACTACAAAATTATTGTATGATAATTCTGAGCAATTTAGTTAAACCTTCAGATCTGTGAACTAAAATAAAATCTTAAGGCTCACCTCCTCACCAGCTGACTGAATGGACCCCCTCTTGGCCAAGGGAATATCCTAAAACTAAATTGCCTGCCAGGAGGAGGGAGGTCAGACAGGCCTCATCATGCCCCCCTTCCTTCTTAGAGACATCCTTTTTATCCCTTTAACAGGCCTAAGGGTATGCAAGACAAGCCTGTAAGTCCTCAATTTACACAACAAATATGTCAGGTGGCTTGTTTCTGATTAACAGCTCCTTATCATAAAACATTGCAAGACTTTAGACAAAGCTTCATGTCTTTAACCAATTACAAGTCAAAGAATTTTTAAACCCAACTATAACCTGTAAGCCTCCCGCCCACCCCTTCCAATGTATGCCTCCCACATATTGGTTTATGACTTTACCTGTAACCCCTGTCTCCCTGAAATGTATAAAACCAAACTGTAACCCAGCCACACCAAGTCCACGTGCTCAAGGCTTCTTGGGCATGGTAATGGTCTTCTGGGTAATGGTCCTCAAATTTGGCTCAGAATAAATCTCTTTAAAATTATTTTACCAAATTTGGCTTTTTTTCCACTAATAATCAAAAGGAACTTTCTAGTTAAATGAACCCAAAACAAGAATCACTACATGAATCATCTGTGACAAAGGTGATTTCAGAGCTCTTGCTGATTCACATGACCTGGCTTCAGCTATGAAATACACCACTGGCTGTAAAGCTGGAAAAGGAGTCATGGCACTCCCACACAGGTAGATTTCTGAGCAAAGAATTCCTTTCGTGGTCCCCTAGCCATGGTCAGCCCTCTCCCCTGGTGCAGACAAGCCTCAGCGAGCAGCCGAGCTATGCTGGCGTGGAAAAGGACAGGTTTCCAATGGCAACATGCCCCTGTCAGGCTCCGCCAGGCCTGCCCCTGCAAAGATTAGTTCATCACATATCAACTACACACTTACTCTTGCACAGCACTCTCTTACCTGGGGTATTCTAAATGTCAAATGAGCGGCACAGATAATATATGCTGTGGGTTCGTAGGAAGATGAAATTATTGAGGGTTAAACACTAGTCATACTATTATCCAAATAAGAGCCCCATTCTCATCTTTGCAATTTTAGAAAATTTCAACATAGTGGGAGGGGCAGGTTTTCAAAGGCACTATAGGGTATGATTCCAAGCACAGGTCTTAGAATCCTATATATCAAAGAATCTAATCCCAGTGCTACTGTTTACCATGTGATTTAGATATATTACTTAAATTCTCCAAGCCTCAGTTTCCTCATGTGTAAAATAGTTTAAAATAAAACCTATTTTATAACATCGTTGTGAAGATTAAAATAGTAATATTTTAAAAATACTTAGGTGGGTATATCATAGAGGTTTATTCTTTACTGTAGTTTTACATCTGTAGATACACTGTATATTTATACATCACAAAGCTAATTACATTTTTCCTAAGTAGACAAAATCAGCAGGTCTCATACACTGACTACAAAATTTCATTTTTGCATATTCTATTTAGTTTCTGAATGTCATCACAATTCATCTCTATTTTACATAATTATTAGCATAGTGATATATAAATAGACTTATGATATTACTGAATTCTCTACTGAGTAATTTTTGAGTAATTCTCTATTGAGTGTTTTTTAGTGATTAAACTCCAACTCAAGGAGAAAATATCTTTACTATTCATTCCAGACCAATTTAAAATGAAAATTATAATTGGGTAGCAACTCAGCTATTATACAACAATGGATTTCAAAAACACAGACATTATGCAACAACCATTCTGGAATAATACGCCCTTCTAATGAAAGCTCTCCATTACAGCTGGAATCCAAGAACTTCATTAAAACCACTGGTTGTATTTGTAGTAGAAAGCAAAGAAAAAAAGAAAGTCCTATAGTTTTCTGATAAATACCTGGACGTTTTATTATAAAGTGCTCACATTTTATATTTCTTCTCTGTGATGTTACCATAAGCTATGGTCTTTAACATTCTCAGCGCTGTGTACAGCTGTCCGGGTTGTATATTGCAAACTCTAGGGCAGTCCATTCACATAGACTACTATGACAAACCCAGCAGCTTTGTGAAGTTCACAACCCGAAATGTGGTGTCCCTGGTTCCCTGCTTTCACTCCACAATGGACTCCCTGTATTAAAAACCAGAATTCTATGCTCTCAGCTCTGAACTAAATGCCCTGAAATTAGAATATAATTGATCTTCAGCTTCTTTAGATAGATCGAAATTTTTGGAAATTAACAAGTTAGAGTCACAGTTGTGTGTCATGAGACTTTAAACATGTAGCAGACATTAAGGACTTTTGATTATATGAGATAAGAATAAAAGTGGAATTAGGATTATGTCTCAGTTTATACAGCTTCCTTCTGGGGGCCATGTAAGACCATAGAAACAATCAGTAGAAAGCACAGCAGATTCTATAAAAAAGGAGGAGAATGGTAAACTAAAGAAAAATAAGATTAAAAAGTACTCTTAGATATGAGTACTTTACAGGTGACTTGTGGTTTTTCCCAGCACACTTCGAGGTGGGTGTCGTGGGCAACCCTGACCTAAACTAATAGTTCTGCTGTGGAGTCTGACATTTAGTCATAAGGGAACACAGTTCTGAGCCTTTGGTTTCCTCTGTCTGCCAGTGACATTTAAACCTGGAATAGTAGATGAGCATTTGTCCCTTATAGTACAATCGCAGAGCTTTGTTGTTGTTAGAATATAGATATGCTTAATGGTTTCATTTCTAACCCCAGATGGAATTCTGACTCTGAGACTGGAACAGGAACAGAAGCCAGAATTGAGATTCATGCGTTTCTGCAGTTGCACATTTTCTTTGTTTTTAGGAGTTTAACCCCAGGTACCTCAAATTAAAGTTGTGTGGGCAACACAACTTTACAGTAAGTCCTCCGAGAGCACAAATGAATATACGTTGAGTAAACATCCCATTAAAATGTAAACATGAAAGACTGCTCAGTGCAGCTGTGGTCTCACCATTTGCCTTGTGCTGTACATCTGGCGGAAGCTGGTCTAGAGCATTCCACGGACAGTCTGGCTGTGTGGAACAATAAAACATTATTACAGCAATATGGACTTCAAACAAAACACTGTGGCAAGTTAAAAAAAGTCATCATGCTATGTGGCTTTTATTAAGCAGACAACACAAAAGTAATTTCTTTCCAAACCTGTCGCCTTCATCCCACTCACCTCCCTTGTCACTACCACCATCTCTCATCTCTCCCCACCCTTCTAGAATTTTTCCTACTTTGTGGTTGTGGTATGTTTTCTTTCTTTCTTTCTTTTTTTGAAACAGATGTGTTCTGGCTATCTGCAGAAGTATAAACACTTTTGTAAAACTTACTATACCCCTTACATAAAACAAAGCAACTTACCATCTATACATACTTTTTTAAAGACCCTCACACTGGAGGCAATGAGAAGGCCAGGAAAAAAAAATGCAAGTTTAATATAAGTTTTCTAGTTTCTTCAAGGAAGAAATCTAAGCTATTAGATGGGGACATGGCCTGGAGAGTTCAGGATGACGAAGCGGGGCTAATCTTTCCCTTTACACTGTTCTCCAGCAGAACCTACTCTCTACATTGCTCCGACAGTTTAGTCTAGAAAGACTAGATTTTTCTCCTGGGATTTTCTCTTAGGTTTATACTAGTTAAGAACAGCTAGATATTGAATGTCAGGGAACATGTCAAACAAATTGCATTGAATAAACAATAAACTACAGACCTGAATTATCAAGATAGTTCCAAGGCCGGCATCTTTGTATTTAACTCCTGGGAATGGAGCAATCTCAGCTTTACCTGGCCACAAAGTAGGTCTACTTTCTGCTCTGAATGCTCACCCCAGCCTCCTACTTCCGTGCAAGATGGAAGAGAATATACATCTTTTGTTCTATTATTCCATTATCTCCTAAACATAACTTGAGGAAAATTTCTCTAACATGAGCCAATAGAGAGCACTTACAGGGCTGCCAGACCACTACAAGTAGCCTAAAAAGTTCAATTCCCTGAGAAGACACTGAGAAATGCTCCTTTCTCAGAGTGGGGTACAGTCTGACTCCACTCTGCCCTCACTCAGGCACCTAGGCTCTTGTCCCCTTCGGCCTATGAAAAAGCTAAAAGAGGAAATGAGATCACCTCTGGATTTTATCTTCTCGTCTATTTTTAGATGCCTCCAGTAACACACATGGTAAGTGACGTGAACCTCAGTTTTCTATCCCAGAAGAGTTACCAAAAGAAGGTGAATATGCTGCAATGTCACCAGCATTGTTGCCTGGGATTTAATTCAGGTTTAGCTATAAGCAAGAAACATGGAATATTCTTTTAAAATGAACTCTGAGGATTTTGCTGTAAATTCTACCGTTACATAAGATTTTTTTAAAAAATTGAATACTGCTTGAAACTGTAGGCCATTACGCATGGACTGGAGTCCTGTTTCCAAATGTGGATCTGTGTTGGTGCTAAGTTTGTGTGGTCTGGACGTCCTGGCCCCTTCTAGGTGACAGGGAAAGTCTGATGATTGGTGCTAAGTTTGTGGGATCTGGACGACCTCGCCCCTTCTACATGACAGGGAAAGTCTAATGAGAAGGTGAACTCCTTTCTTCCTTCTGTAAATGAAGATTTGACAAAAATGCCATTTTTCCTCCTAAACTTGAATGACTCATTGGTTTTATCATTAACCTTTCACAAAAATATTTCTCCAATCCCCCAACCTGTAGAAGCTAACTTCTAAATAGATTTCTCTTTATGTTTCCCACAACCTTAGTATACTTCTACATTCTTGAAAAAAAAAAATGTTCAGGAATGATAGTTGTGTTTGAAGAGTCCCAGAAATGTTTCTAGTAAAGACTGAAAAGGAAGCAAACAGGTAAAGAAAAGAGGAAATGAGAAAGGAAGAGTGAACAGCACTAGTGACTGGTGACAACACGAACATCAAATTCTCAGCAGTGTGCTGTGTCACCCCAGGGTCAAATAAGAGATGCTCATTAAATCCTGACATGCTTGTGCCACCCAAAGAGTCATCATCTCCTCCCTGGGGCCATGGGCTTTGAGTCACACTCAAGTACAAAAGTGTGAGAGGTTTCAGGCAACCAAGAGAATCATGCTCTCTATAAGTGCTGTGCCAGGAAAATCCAGTTAAAATCTCTCAATTTTTTTGTATCATTAGAAACACCGTTAATAAAAACTAAGGGAAGCCGGGCGCGGTGGCTCACGCCTGTAATCCTAGCACTCTGGGAGGCTGAGGCGGGCGGATTGCTCGAGGTCAGGAGTTCGAAACCAGCCTGAGCAAGAGCAAGACCCTGTCTCTACTATAAATAGAAAGAAATTAATTGGCCAACTAATATATATAGAAAATTAGCCGGGCATGGTGGCGCATGCCTGTAGTCCCAGCTACTCGGGAGGCTGAGGCAGAAGGATCGCTTGAGCCCAGGAGTTTGAGGTTGCTGTGAGCTAGGCTGACGCCACGGCACTCACTCCAGCCTGGGCAACAAGCAAGACTCTGTCTCAAAAAAAAAAAAAAAAAAAACTAAGGGATGTGGGATGAACTGTCTGAGCAAATCCAAAATCTAGAAAAATGCGTAACTCTTTTCCTGGATAAAGTTTCTGTCTATGTAGGCAAAATGGAGAGTAGATACAGGCATTCAGATTGTGGGCAGAGGGTGGGGTGGATATTGCCATTGAAAAGGAAAAGAAGGGTGCTTCTGGTTTGACTTATTCAGGTTGACTGTCCAAATCAATTCCACTCACAAATAATTGCTCAACTGTTCACTTCATTCTGCCTGGGCAGACATAACCATGGAGAACAGTTTAAGTGGGTCACTTTTTCTTGGATCCTTTAAGAAAATCCTTTCAACTGGAAAATGTCAAAAGCTATTTTGCACATAGGCAGCCATATCCACAGTAGTTCAATATATGTTTATAACTTAAAAAAGCATCTCAGTTTTTGTTTGGCCATATCTACTTTTCTTTTCTTTTCTTTTCTTTTCTTTTCTTTTCTTTTTTTTTTTTTTTTTTTTTGAGACAGTCTTGCTTTGTGCCCAGGCTACAGTGAGTACCGTGGCGTCAGCCTAGCTCACAGCAACCTCAATCTCCTGGGCTCAAGCAATCCTTCTGCCTCAGCCTCCTGAGTAGCTGGGACTACCTACAGGCATGTGCCACCATGCCCGGCTAATTTTTTCTACATATATTAGTTGACCAATTAATTTCTTTCTATTTATAGTAGAGACGGGGTCTCACTCTTGCTCAGGCTGGTTTCGAACTCCTGACCTCAAGCAATCCGCCCGCCTTGGCCTCCCAGAGTTCTAGGATTACAGGTGTGAGCCAACGTGCCCAGCTTACTTTGCTTTTCTTTATACATGAAAATGTCCTTTGGGTAGAGTCAGGTATGCCAATTTAAAATGACCCATATAAAATGTTCTATGTTTGTTCAAGAAATCATACTTCAATTTGATACCTTTCAATTAATTTATTCATATCTATGTGTCCTGTGGATTCAGTGCCTCAAAGATAATTATATTGTACATTGACCACTGAAACTGTATGAATTAGAGGCTGAGAGAAAATAGAAGCTCTTTTTATAGACAACATTACATGCCAAAACTCCAGAGATGCACATAATTTTTTACCTAAAGAGAATACTAAGCATTTATTGGCCAAAATGAAAACTCTTACTTACCGGGTGCTCCTGTGGATTCTGCACAGCCCCAGGGCCCGTGGGTCCCCAAGGATCCCGCAGGTGGAAAACCAAGCCGCAGTTACAGGGTGGGAAATACATCTGGGGAGAACAATGCTGTGGGTTCACTGGCAGTGGGTGAAATTGGGGAGTTACACTGACATTTGCTTTACACAACAAGCTTTGGTTTCAATCTCGAGGTGCCCAATCTGGAATAATTCTAACTCAAAATAGTAAATATGTCAATATAGATTCAGGACCAATACAGATGGGAATCCAAGGCCAAATTTTATCTGTGGTGAAACTATAACCATTTCTTCCTTTTGAAGAAATTAGAAACACTTGAAAAGTATACAGAGTTAACTTTTTTGTTTCTGAGTTAGCGTCATAAAGGGTCCTCATTGAAGAAAAACCACCCATTGAGTCATAAACTACGTTTTCTTAGATTGCAGCCAGAGACCACTCAAGTCCAGAAAGGACATTAGGAATTAAGAGAAATGATATTCATTCTTTAAGGCCACTAGAGAATGCACAGGATAGAACGCTTCAGTGACTAAGAAGACATGATATTTTCTTGAAAGAGGCAAAATCTTTGCTATGGGTTTCCACTGTAAATTGTGTGAGCAACTGCAAGAGATACCAAGGAAATATATTTCCCAGATGTTAGTGGGGCTATGAAGACTCTCCATTTGAGTGAACACACAACTAAGGCTTGTGCCACTGGAAACATGTTCTGGAAAGCATGTGTTTTTCATGAGTGTCAGGGTTCAAAGTCTTTGGTGGTTCCCAAGCATGGTCTATCCACTGATGGTTTAGTTGATAACAAAAAGCATGGGTTGTTCTAGGCCATCTGTAGCAGTGTATGCCTTTAATTGGGACCATGAGAAATGCTGTACATGGGAATGAATGTGTGACTGACACTTAAAGTTGCCATTTCAACTGTGACAAGAGGGCTTAGGTAAGGACCAACATACCTGTTTTAATTGCTTTTTGAGTTTTTCTTTCTCCATCTGACAAGCTTTTATCTACGGACAAAACAAAGGCCTTTGTTTATCAAGAAGAGTTCATGTCATTAGTTCCCAAGGCGCTCTTGACCCAGCTGTCAGCAACCTACTCAGAAACCTGAGGGCTGAGGCACTGACAGCAGGAACACCAACAAAACAGTCACATTTGGGGTTTTCCAATCATGCATTGATCCTATCTTGAAATTCCCAAATGAAGTTTGGAAAGCTGGATAGTTTTAAATGTTATTCCAACTTTTTGAGGCCATTGTAATTCTGAGTTTTAAGCTGATCTATTTAGATATAGATATAGAAGCAGCTTCCATTGCTTACTGAATGAAGTTGGAATTGGTCAATCCGACATTCAAAAGCATCCACAATAAATATTAGAAGCTGTGCATGCACTTAATACAGGCCAGACACTGATCTAAATCCTTCACATACAATAACTTATTGAAGCCTCTTAATGCCCCCAGGTGATACTTAATATTATTATCTCCATTTTAGAGATGAGGACATGGACACAGGAGATGTTGAGTGACTTATTTGAAGTCATACTTAATGACTTCTCCCAGTCACATCTAGCACAGTCACCTGCCCTGGTGTCCCTCCACATCTGACACACCTAGAGAAAGCTCGTTTTTCTCTGAGTTTTTATTAATGCCATCCTTATCCTTATACCTCATTTTCCACATCCCTAAAAGGCATGGCCAGATGTCCCCTCCTGTGTGATACTTTTCCAAGTCGCACTCTTCAAAATTATTCCTGCCTCCCTTGGTCTTCTCATGTAGAGTTGTGTATTTACTATGAGACTTTGTCCAATATGTGCTATGTATAGTCAATTCTTGCTACTGGCAGTAGTCATGTTCCATAAAGTCAGAACAAATACTGAGTTAGTGAATTCTGAACCATTGTTTCTAGAAGAAATGCAGGCTTCAGTTCCTGCGAGCCTCTGGTCACGGTATTTTTGTCAACTGACTGATACATTACCTTGTTTTATGTGCATTTCTGGTTAAAGATACTTCAATATATATTGCTGATTCATTAACACGGAACTCACGGGCAATTGCACTACAACTTACGCCTGAATGAAGTTTATCTAACACACGTTTTCTCAGTAATGGCACGTCACAGCCTTTATGCATTTAGGAACACTGACAGTACTTCAGCACTATACTTTGTGGGCAATTTAAACAATGAAATTACCAACCAAAAGCGAAAAACATGGTGCTAAATAGATCACGAGAAAGAAACTTTCTACAGTGTAAGAGCGGAAACAAGAAGGCAGCATCGCCTTGTTCAATCTCAGCTGGGAACGTGCATGTCAGATGACTCTACTACTCCTCTGCTCAGGTTTTAGAATGTGCCACAAGAGCACTGCAAGGGTTGATTTTGGGGTAACACATACATTTCAGTGAGCAGGAAAATTCACATATATGGAATCTGCAAATGCTAAGAACAGACTGTGTATATATCTCTTTAATTATATTGTGAGTTCTTTAAGAACTAGTATTTTATTCCTTTACAGCATAAACCAGAATCCCTTGCAGAAAGCAAGCATTGGAATTAGAGTACAAGGAACTGAAAGTAGCATGTTCATATAACTAAATGAAATTACTAAACTTGCACCCTTCTAATAGACTAAAATAATTTATGAAATACCTTTGAGTCATGACTTGATCTTGTGGTGTTTTAATGTGGTGTTTTAAGATGTTTTAATAAAGGCTTTTTTTGCCTACTTAACCCTGAGAATGACTTTGTGAAGTCATGAAGTAGGTATCATTTATCCATATTTTACAGGTGAGGATACTGATAGAGGTTAGGTAACTTATTTTTTAGAGACAGAGGTTTTAAAGTTATAAGAAACATTTTAGAACTCATCTAGTCCAACTTTATCATTTCACCGATGAAGAAAAGGAGTCACAGCAAAGTTCAATGACTTGCTCAAGGTCACACCAACTGAGCATTAGAGTGGCAGGAGCACCAGGTCTTTCCCCCTAAATTCGTCCTACTCCTAAGTACGTACTTTAAATACCTTTCATTTCACCACATTGCTATTTTACCGTTGTTGCTGGTTTAAAAACATCCCCAGTGATAGACTGAATATATTCTGGTGTGTAAGCAACTAGTTCCAGAATGATATGACCTAAAAATTCCTTTAGAAGTCCACTTGGACAATAAATAATACCCTATTCAACTACGGTAATGCCAGTCCTTTTTATTATATCATAGCATTTAATCTGCTGTAAATACACTTAACAAAGATCATCAAACCATCTACTATATCTCTTTGTGAGTTCTATCATCCTTTTTCCAAAGTGAAGGACACTTTTGAAAAATAGATGACTGGGCTATCATTATTTTTAAAAAATTTTTTGATAGTTTTAAGATATCACTTAGATGTCATTAAGACTGTCCCTTAGTTTATAATCACAATTCTACTATACTGTGTTTAGACAGTACATTTATTTTGTTGATAACTATCAAAAATTACAGATGGCATAGGAAATGACTTGTGGATTACAGCATATAGCATTGCATAGATGGATAGAAGTTCCTGGCTGGATAAAAGTCCTGTAATGGCAAAGACATTGCCAGTCTTAGACAGCAATTCATCATCAATCTGAACTTAATATAGTAGAAGGGATAAAACTAAAATATAGTAGGAAGTGAAACTATTTACACAGTGACAACTTAAAAGAAACTAAGGAAGCTCTGCATGTAAGCAATAAAAGCTAAAAGAGAGATTTCTTTACCTAGTGTAACCAGAATATTTTCTTACCTACTGTTTATAAATTATGTATTAGGTTGCATAAATTATTTTCAGAAAATTATTTAATTATATTTTACTACTATTTTATTCCTCTAATTTCTTAAAGAGAAAATTGTTCTGTTGAAAATTTTTCTCATGTAAAATTAGAAATTTCAAATTAATCCTTCAATAAAAATCAGAAAAGAAATCAAGTTTTTTTCTGTTTGTTTGTTTTTGTTGTTTTTTTTTTTTTTGAGACAGAGTCTCACTTTGTTCCCTAGGCTAGAGTGAGTGCCGTGGCATTAGCCTAGCTCACAGCAACCTCAAACTCCTGGCTCAAGCAATCCTTCTGCCTCAGCCTCCCAAGTAGCTGGGACTACAGGCATGCACCACCATGCCCGGCTAATTTTTTCTATATATATTAGTTGGCCAATTAATTTCTTTCTATTATAGTAGAGACGGGGTCTCACTCTTGCTCAGGCTGGTTTCGAACTCCTGACCTCAAGCAATCCGCCCACCTCGGCCTCCCAGAGAGCTAGGATTACAGGCATGAGCCACCGCGCGCGGCCTAGAAATTAAGTTTAATTCACAATCTACTTTGTATTTGGAGGAGGAAGAGGATGACTAATAATTTAAAATTTCTTATAAGACTAAGAATCTTAAAGCTAAGAGCTGCTACAGCATGTCTCAACAATCTTTTATTTATTCGAAAGCACTGCATGATTTTGCAAGTCAAAAATGTTGTGTTTCATTTTATTTTTTTAAGCCAAAATTGTGTTTGCTACATTTTCCTTCATTAACATCAGTATTTACCCATCACAGCAACTTCCTGAGTCTACTTTGACATATCCTATTACACTTAATTTTAGTGTGCTTACATTTAATATATTCTATTTTAATAAACTGGTAACCATTATCTGGCTTCCTTGAAAGTGCTCCAGTTACATTAAATCTGGGAACCCACTGAACAAAATCCTCAGTTTCACAAGTAAATGGCCTTTAGAAATATGTACGTTTTTGGCAGACAGGAGCATTCTCACATAGCTCTTCAAAGAAAATGACAAGAATTTAGAAACCACTTCACTCTATTTGAGTACTACGTAGTTCAACTCCCATTCCACCAAAGTAAATATTATGAGAAAAAGATCAAAAGAACTGTATTTCATAAAAGACTCTGGAATCTAATTTCTTGAGTAATACTTTAATTTACTTAAGTTAAAAAAAATTTCTAGTTATTTTCATCTCCTTACGAGATTGTTCAAGAATGATTTCATTGCAGGTGCTAATCTCTCTAGAAAATCCAATGTCAACTAACACAAGTCAAAAAGTCTTGATTTTTTTTAAATGAAAAAAATAAAAATAAAATATACACATCCTGGCAAAGATTATTTTGTTTTGATTTGTACCTGAGAATTCAGCCTGTTCAGCTGGGATTGGGAAGTCTGATTAATCTGCTGTAGCTCCTCTTTCTCTTGATTAAGTCTTTCTCGATCCGATCGTTCCTTTTTGAAGTCTTCTTCATATATTTGCACCTAAGAAACATTAACTTGCTGTTATAAAAGCTTACTTTACTCTTAAGCCATTTAAAAGATTTCAGAAAAGGTGTTATCTGGGCCTTTCCAATCTGAGACATTCCTATGCTCTTTTCATGAATATTTCTTCATGGTGTGATGGAGAAATACATAGGACTATTTAATTTTATCTTTCACTTTGTTTACACTGCCAATTCTCAACATTTTCCTTCTTGAGCCTATATCAGGAATTCAGAAGTAAAGTAACAACATGTATGTTTTAAAACAATTCCTCTCTGCTGCATCTAGCACCAACACAAAGGCTTCAATGTATGATACCGCTTGAAGTTCTAAAAGATAGTTTACTGACAAGAGGTGTTAAGGGAAGCCACAGAATACTGACATGCTAAAGCGTCCAAGTATAAACTATAGGTTGAGTGCAAAATACAAATGAAAGCCTGATGTGTGTGGAAAAGTAATGCGTTCACAAATTTTGCCTTTATAAAGTAATATTTTAGTAGAACACCTCTTGAGAGGTAATCCAAATGTTCCAGAAGGTGACCAAACTAAAAAGAAAAACAGATTTAATTATTGTTGTTGCTTTTAATTGGCATAGTGTTGACTGATGGCTTGTAGACTATCATGTAAAGTTATGAAAACAAATGAAACTTAGAGAATGAGGCAAAAAAATTCCTCTTAGACCATGACTTAAATTACTTACATTAGAACACAGTAGCTAGACTTTTGTCTATAAACACTAATGCACATTTTACCTCCATCACCAACAGTGCACCAAATTTTAACTAAGGGTTTTTCAATTTTAAGTCAACAGTAACAGAACAAAATAGGCAAGACAAAAAATTAAACACTTTCTATAGCTCTAGATCCAGCTATACATATTCCATTTTTAAGGCTTTATTTACCAGAAGCATTGCAAAGAAGCTACATACAGCCAAGCTGGCATTTTTATTTTTATTTTTTTGGTTGAGAACTGAGGTTCAATTCCAAAGACAGTTAAACTAACGCTCTATAAACAATTACCAGAAGCCTTTTAAATGGGACCAGCCCATCTGATTAGAGTGGAACATTCTGGCAATGTCATTAGTTCAGCCAGGTAGGGGCAAAGATTCTAATTCAATTTCTTCGTGGATTTAAACCCTTTAGTGTTTCACGTGGCACTTGGTGATTGTGGGTGCCCAATTAGAAACGTGCAGTTAAAATGCTTATGAAGAAAGTCATCAATAAAGCCACCCCAAAACTAAGAAGATGGATCTCCCACTGGGGATTATGAAAAAATAATACCTGTCACTGTCTTTGTCAAATGTGAGCTAATCCATTACTGTGAACTCCATGTGTAAAAATGACTCTTACACACGATGTACATTATACGTGAGCACCAAAGATGATTCAAGTGTTTGAACATAAGCAGTGTTTTTTTTAATTTTTTAAAGGAATCCTAGCTAGCACCAACAGTGTTTTAGGGGTTGAAAATTTGATAAAGCTTTGACACTCTCCTATTCTCTTCATGGGTTTACTTTTAAGCTATGTGTATGATCATGAATGTAATGAAACTGATTATTCAAATGAAATTGGCAGAAGAGAAAACCCAACTTCACCAGCAAGTGATATGACATTTTTAGATCTATTTATATGCAGGCTACTTCCTATGAAATAACAACAATAAATAACAACAATAACACAGGTGCTCAATCTTTTCATGTACTGCATCAAAAATCGTTGTAATTGGCACTTGCTCAGAGCAAAAACAGTCAACAAATCAAACCCAGGGACATCAGAAAAAGAATACTTTCCATCCCTTTGTTCTATGACACTCTCTTCCCCACTGCTAACACATTACTGACAATATGTGCTTCAGGGATTAGAATTCCTGGTTTTATAGACACTGCCATGAACTGTTCCAGCCTTTTACCTACATTAGTTTATTTAACCTCTCGCAGAAAAAGAGAGGTGATATGCACAGTTGGCCCCTCGGCTAAGCGCACACCAGCTGACTGAACTAAAGTGAGACACAAATAGTGTAGGCAGGCTATATCCCTACAGCCCTATGCTGCCACGAGATACATGCACCAACTGCAGTAAGTGCATCCTTACTCTTGCTGTCCACTTGGCAACAGTGACGGAAGTTGGGGTGAGCGGGCAGGAGGAAGCTGTTGGGCATCAGTAAATTACTGGGTGGTGCTATCCACATGTGGGAACAGCTGAGCAGACCTGGCTCCTCAATGACTATGCCCAGGGCAAAGTATGCCCTTCTAACTGCCCTTACTGTTCAAAAGTCTGGAGGCCAGCAGCTACGAAATCACAATCTGGCTGCTACCATTTTCTGAAAAGGTCCAGAATTTGGATTAATAGCATTTTGAAAATAAACAACCTCTACATGAAACCCTCTAGACCCAGTGCTAACAGAATCTCACCCAAAGGTTAATTAGTATGCCCCTGTTTCAACTGTGTGATCTTGGGCATGCCATTTAATTCAGCTGGACACTCAATTCCCTCTTTTATAAACTGTGGCAGTGAATTAGCTGATCTACAGTCTTCCTATCAAGCTTTAAAATTAGATGATTCTAATCAAAATAAATGCAAAAACTTTTTGACATATTCTGAGCAGCAAGACAAGGGTCCAGAGGAGTGTGACGAATGGGCCCTATCTTCTCCTCGTGCCTGTGCCACTGCCAGCTTCTCACCTGCTGCTTGAGAACTTCCATTTCTGTTCTCAGCTCCTCATGACAGCACTCTCCAGACTTCCACAAACAGTCCTCGGGAGGTGAAGAACACTCGATGTTCAAGGCGTCCTGAAGAGCCTGTGTTAGCAAAGATAAGCACACCGTTGATCTAAGATTTACCACATCGTATGAATTCCTTTTTAACTGTTACAATCATTTCAAATGCACCCACAAGGTAGAATGTCATCTTTAATGCTGCTTACACAACTGAATAGCTTTCTTCTTATTAATTTTTTGCATATATGTATTTTTTTTCAGAATCTCTGTATTTTCCCCATGATGATGTTTATGCTATTCAATCCCCATTATAATCTAGGGAGGCTTTAATGTGGACCCTCCTCTACCTAGCCAAATATGAAAGGAAAACGTATCTGCCACCTTTTCCTAGATTATCTGGTTTAATTCAATTTAACTCTGTAAATGATGCTCAAACTTCAGGGAGCAGGAGAGGTAGCAAACATGCCCACCGTGGACACTGCCCAGTCAAGATTCTGCATCAGTAGATCTAGGGGTGGAGTCTGAGTTTCTCAAAAGCTGAGAAATGTTCCAGATGATATTCTGCATGTCCCAGATGATGTTTTGAGTAATATTCTCCTATATAACCATACCATGCCCCCAACAGGAGAGAAGGAAATAAACGGAAATGTGAGCCCATGCAGATTCACTATCTGCTAGATCTGTTGTGCTGCTCTCCTGGCCTGGCCTCGCCACAGTCCTATTTATTTCTTCTTAAAACATTCATTAATTCACTTACAGGGCAGAGAGAGTTCTGTGCTTTCCTGACATCCAGTACAAGTTGATGTTTTTACTGAGGGATGAGGAGGTGAAGGAAATGATCTGTTCACCAACAAGATTATCATCCTTACTCACTAGCTCATGATGGTCTTACATGTACTATATTTGGTCACATCATATAAAAGGCATCGCCTCTATTTTGAAGACTTTTGGGTCATGATGAGTTCAATAAAAATGACTTCCAAATGTTGTGATGGAAAACTTCTCGTGTTGTAGCCTCAGAGCCCACGATGTGACTACTTGCTCATTAGCAAATGAGTCCTCTGTAAATAGAATAGGTTCATTTTCAGAGCTCTAAGAAGAATTCACTTCTTCTGTATTTCTTTAGTAACTTCAGTGATGTCTGTTTGATGATATTTGTGGTAACTCACTCTGCTGCATGACTATACAATATGGTCATAAACGTAGGAAAGGAAAAGCAAATTAGTGGTCTTGAGTATAAGTGGACAGACTAGAAATTATTAAATAGAATGTCTTAGAATTTATGAATATTGTCCAGCCTGATAAAGTTGTTTAGTGATTTATGCTTTGTGAGGATTTATACTAAGCTCTAGGAAGTATCAGAATAGTTAAACATTTTTTTTAAGCGTTTGCATAGTGATAGAGTCTGGGGTGGGATGAGCCAACTGAACAATGGCAATCGAATGCACTGGTTCCTTATCCTACACCTACAAATAGACTGTTTTTGTGGAACTTGTCATTTGAATTCCCTACTTTCATGCTATTCAGCATTCTAGAAATTTTGCAAATGAGTCATAAATTAAAGGTAAGTCTCATAGACATTTATCCCAACTTCTTTGAACAAACACCTATAATCTATTCTAGAACAGCTATTTGCTGTGGGTGCAGATATACTAAGCAGACCTGCCCACCTCATAATGGTGAGATGTCAGACAAACTGATTTTGCCCATGGGTGGCACAGGCCTCAGGTAATTTTTCTCACTTTGGTTAAACATCTGGCTTCTCTTCAAGAGCTGGATGAAAATAAAACCGTTGGGTATTTTCTTCAAAGCAAATAAACTGGATGGAGTACACAGTTGTGTGAACCTCTGATAATCACAAGTTAATTACTAGGCTGACATATTACAAATTTTTGCTGAGTGAATGGGTCAGCAGGCAGTCAGCTTGTGCAAATAGGGTAGGCCCCAAATTCCATGCTGTGAGGCACGGTGTGCGTAATCAGCTGCTGAAATCGACATTTTGAGTAACTTCTATCACAGTGGTAAAAAAGAAAAGAAAAATGCTCATTGTAAAATAGAAGAACAATAACATCTTCTACTTCGTGATCTTCCAATACATGTGCTAAAAGAGAAAAAAAATCTCTTTTCATAACTACCACTTAATATCTATGTTTTTAAGTGGCAGTTTAAGGTGTAGATAGCTATGTGGGATGAAATCTCTTCTGGCTTTAAGTGTCCTTTTATTTGTTTAGGAAGCCAATCTCTATTTTCCCATTTTCTCCTGACGAATAACTTGTTCCACAAACAGATCTACTACAGGGTCACATTTGCAAAGCATATCAACAATGCGGGCACATGCTTAACACTTTGAGGACCTTTAAATGACACCTCTGAACTCTGGTTAACTACAGCCATGGGCATTCACTCCAAAATGCAGGGTTTGAGCACATTTTCAAGGCCAAATACCTACTCTCCTCTTAGAAGAAAGACAATTTCTATGGCTTTGGTCATGAGATATCTAGTTGAGAGATGCATATCTCAACTCAACCATGTGCTACAGCATTCCTATGTTCCATGTATGGCTGGGCTCTTGGAAGTTGACAGCAAAGGATTTTTTATTTTTTCCCTAAATGAGTCATCAACCTCTTCCCCCCTGATAATTAAATAATTAGTCCATAAAACCACACACACACACACACACCATCCTTTTGCAGCAACTCACAGGCTGCCCCTTTGAAGAATTACGCTGGAGTTAAGGTAGTAAACCACTTGCATATTCCTAAAAGCCTTGACTATTCCTGACCCCTCCCCACCACCTGCCCCCAATAAAAGTGGGTTTTAGGCTTGCACTCAGGAGAGCCACCATCTCAGCCTTGGATCTGGCATTTAGCCGGCTTCCATATAGTGTGTATCACACCCAGCTCCATGGCTATCATTTTAAAGAGCAGCTTGTTTCCTCAGGAAGCTTTTGTGGTTGACCAAGAAATACGTTACTGTTCGCAAACACCCGCTTGCTTTATGTGGTTCTTCAAACTAAAAAAAAAAAAACAACAAAAAAAAAAACAGTTCTTATCGTCTGTAATTTCTCACTTCTCTTTTTCATGATGATTCTTTGCAGGGACATAAATTCCCTAAAGCGTCCTTACCCAGGTATGGCTGAAAGCTGCAGACATGAGTGATTTCTAAAATTACAGAGAAAAGTCTTGTGCAAGCCCCCAAGGCTGGGCCCCATGTTGCAGGCTAGATTTTGTTGTGACTCTTAGTAGGAATGTGTTCTTACACAGGGACCTCTCATTTTGATCTCCCATGCTTGAGTTGGTCTAATACCTTATTGAGGCGTCTTATTTCACATTCTAAATGTTCCTTCTTCTTGTTTGCAAGAGCATTTTTTTCCTTCAAAAGCTTATTCTCTTTCTTCAATTCATGTAATTCTTCATTTAGGCTTTCCTTTTCCTTCTGAGGTAAAGTAAAGAGCAAGAAAATAAAATCAAACTCAATAAATGTCAAATGAGATATTGTAGAAAAAGTCATATATTGTAGAAAAAGCTGCTATGGTAGATTGAGAGGGGCACCCTTCTGAAATATAATAATAACAGAACCTGCAAGATTTTCATTTAACATTCCATTTGAGCAATATCCTTTGGGTAAAGGACAAGATTAGGATTGAAGAAATCCTTCTTTTATCAAAACTTATTGGAGTAGTTTAGAAGTTTTGTGACTCTAGAAAAAAACTCAAGATCCCCAAGTTTTACTTTCAATAGTCAAATAAATGGGTCTGCAGAATAAACAAGTTTCCATATACTAAGTGATGGATAAGTGATTCAGAAAAGTAGTTGAAGGCCGGGCGTGGTGGCTCACGCCTGTAATCCTAGCACTCTGGGAGGCTGAGGCGGGCGGATTGCTCAAGGTCAGGAGTTCGAAACCAGCCTGAGCGAGACCCCGTCTCTACTAAAAATAGAAATAAATTAATTGACCAACTAAAAATATATATACAAAAAATTAGCCGGGCATGGTGGCGCATGCCTGTAGTCCCAGCTACTCGGGAGGCTGAGGCAGTAGGATCGCTGAGCCCCGGAGATTGAGGTTGCTGTGAGCCAGGCTGATGCCACGGCACTCACTCTAGCCTGGGCAACAAAGTGAGACTCTGTCTCAAAAAAAAAAAAAAAGAAAGAAAGAAAAGTAGTTGAAATTGCTAAAAAGAAAAAAACTGTCATTGCAACAAAACAAGACTCTATCTCAAAGCTCAATCCTGCAACATTCTGTACTAGAGAGTGGGAGAAGAGAATAATTTGTAGGCAAATAAGACCCTTCACTATAGATAAGTAATCAGAGCACTACATTGTTGTCATTATTATTTTTAAAAAGTAGAAATCAACTACTCCAATTGCCACCACTCTTCCATTTTTTAGATCTTTATCAAGAAATCTAGTGTATTAAATGACTGAAGGTTAGCTGCTTAGATACTAATAGGCTCTGAATTCAGACAATGTCCCCTATCTCTTAATTTTATATACTAGATTATATACTAGATTTTATATACTAGATTACTAGAATTTTATATACTAGATTACTATATACCAGTAAATGCTTTGTCAAGCAAATTGGATTCTTAATGAGATTGAGATCTTAACTGGGTAAAATAAATATTGCAGAATTTAGGTAACTCAAAATAAGAAAACAGCTAATACACATATTAAACTATGTTATTTTAGTAATTAATATTTCCCGATACAACTATTAAATTTTAAATATCCACTTTAGGTAATTCATTGTCATTAAAAGCAAAAACTTTTTTATTTGCTTTTAAATAGAATGGGTCTATATACCTAAAAAATGAACCAATCATTTTCTAATTTAAGAGAAAATTATTCTAACTAGAAAATGGTCCCAACTGCACAGGGAAAAAATTACAAAGATTCCTGGTCAGGTGTAATTGGAAAAGGAAATGACTTCTACATGGCTGAAAAGGAGTTGTCAAAAGCCGTTTTCCTTACTCACTATGACAAACACATCCTTAGCAAGGTAGGAAAACCTGGACTGGCATGTTCTGTGCTGATTTTAAACACTGCCTTAAGATTTGTGCATGTTTTAAATATGCACAAATGACTCACAATATCAGTGATAAGACTTCACCTGAGAATATCTACACTTTTGCTTTTTCTTACTAGGAGGCCACTAGAATTTAAGGTTTCCTCCCCAGTTTCTCAATATTCAGGAAATCCAATCATTGAAAGTAAAACCAGAGGGGGGGGAAGAATCTATTTTAGGAGAAACTGTCATCTCAATCGTTATTGCTCAGTTCGCAGCAAGGGTTGATGGAGACTTAGAATCTGGAAACCGGGTTCAAGTCCCATTTCCCCACATGCTGCTTCAGCACCGCTGGCAAGTCAACTTCTTTATACCTCAGCTTCCTCATCTTTAATACGGCAAAAATAACATTTTCCTCACGGGTGGCCTGAGAATGTTAAATGAGGTAATGAGGCCGAAGTGCTTCTGAAAATGTTATTTTTTTATGATTACAAACGTAATACCTGTTTGTAAAGTGTCTGTAAGCTATACTGTGCAAATGCAAGGAACTGCTATGTTATTAGTAATTATTAACAGTAGTAATAAAAATAATAAATGTGAATAAAAGCAGAAATAATTAATTTTCGTCTAAGCTGAAGTGCCCTGGATAGACAGCAGCAAAGAGCTGTCGCCCAGCCACGGCCCGGCGCCCCGCGCCCCGCGCGCCGGCGTCACTGGGCCGGGGTTTGGACACGGCGCCCCGCTTCCACCGTCCGGCGCCGCCCACCTCCTCGCGCGGCGGGTTCCGGGTGGGGCCGCGCGGCCCGTCGCCGTCCCTCGGGCGCTGCGGCCGCCGCTCCCCGTCGGGCGCGCTGAGCAGTCCTTCCGCGGCGTCCAGTTGCGTCTGCAGCTCCGCGACCTGGGGAGGCGTTCACAGACAGTCGCCACTCCGCCCGGGCCCGCGCGGCGACGGACGCGCCCCGCCACACGCAGAGCGCCACTTCCCGTCTGAGGGAGACGCTCCGCGGCGGAGCGCGCGCGCCTGTCCCCTCGCGGCCTCGCGCTTCCCGCTGCTCCGGCGCGCCCCGCGGGGACGACGGCTGTGGCCGCAGCCGCGTCCCCCGGCTTGTCATTCTGCTCTGGGCTCTCACGGCGAGGCTGGCAAAAAGGCGACGAGCGTCGGGGCCGGTAGAATACGCCCACACCAGAGAAAAACGGACATGGCCTTTAGTCTGACGCCTGACTGGACTTCCGGGACGGGCGCGACCCGGTCGCCTACACCCGTTCCCACGTGCGCGCCGCCCGGGAAGACGCGGACGCAGCGAGGTGGCCGGGACGTTGCCCCAGGCAGTGCATTTCAAATTTAGTCTTCTGGGTATCATAGTGGGAAACAATGGGACACAAGCTGCTGTATTACTCACTTGTGGTCAAGTTTCCTTTATTTAGGGGAATTTACTTTCTCTTTTTGAAGACAGAATGATTTTTACATTGTAAATCGTCTTTTACCTATTAAAGGAGATTTTCTCCAAAATGTTCCTTTCTCACCAAAGCAAAAGCTTCTTGACAGCAAGTGTGCTTTGGAGGGAAGTGGGGGATGCCCCGTTTTTCCTCACACTTTCACTGTTGCCGCTGTTGGTTTCTGTAGCTGTGGAAAATAGCTTTTGCTATCTAGTTAAATAATTAGAGCTAGACTTGCATAAAACGGTGTGAACTTTAAACCATCTTTCGCTGCACACATAACTTGTGTGTTTATGGCTGCTTGTATTCATAACACAGCTGAGGCCGGGATACTCGATGAACCGTAATAAATGTGCGTAAGAACTCCCGAGACATTGCTGGGGGCTGTTTTTAGCACATTTCTTTAGCCAGCTCAAGATAATTCACTGACACTGATCATTAATCTTCAATACCAAGAGGCCAATAATACACTCAGCATCCCTCCCTCGTTTTTCAGCAGTTGGCTATCCACCAATCTCTCCGTAGCTGAAATCAATGAGTCTTCACACTCTTGGCTCCACCAGGATTATTGGTTTCAAGAAAATACGAAATCAAGAGAGGTGCTTACCTTTCTTTCATACAACTTTTTCATACTTCTAAATTGCTGATCCCATTGCTGGTTAACTTCCAGGAGCTGAAATTATTAAAATTTGGTGAATCAAAAAAGAATGTCTGCCCATCTGGAAATTTGGCCAAAATGAAATCACTTTTTGGCCTTACTGAGATTTTGGAAACCATGAGTGAAGATGAGATTCCTTCCACCAAGTTCTGATTGGGCTAGGATAATTTAATTGGACATACTCTCACTCTCATTAGAATAATCTTTTAGTAATTGATCCATGTATGAAAAACTATTAAGTCTTAAATACATCTTGACAAATCAGTCAAACAGTTTATCAGCAACATTTAACTTTTCTTAGTTATTTGAATTTTCATCTTCTTCATTCAATCCAATCAGAATCTAGTAAAAATTTGTAAGTAATGATAGCACTTTGTAAGATTTATTAATGTATGAAGGGTCTTTTTCCAAACCTTTCCATATTGGTCTATGTGTTTACACCGATTATTATAATGAAATATTTTTTCCAGCTCCTTTAAAGCAGAATTTGTATTAACAAATCCTAGATTCCATTAACTGATAATCATTTGCTTGGAATAATGTGCTTTAAAAGATTAACACATGATTTGTAATATATCCCCAAATGGATATCACCTTTTTGAAAGTATAGATTTCAAGGAATAACGGTTTCATCCTAAGACAATATTTAGAAAAATTTTAGGCAGCAAACAATTTAAGGATATTAAAATTATCTGCTAATTAGAAGACAGAAAGAACACTATGATCTGTGTTTCGGTATTTTTGTAGGGGAAGCTCACAGCTTCCTACATTAAGAGAAATTCCAGCACTTATCAATATGGAACAGAGACTGAGAAGATAAGTCACATGACTAAAAAATAGCAAGGCCTTCTCCAAATTAAAAAGACAAAATACCTAATCCAGAGTGGCAGTGACTAGATACATCCTACACTGGAAATAGATATGGTTATTTAGTATAAGACTGTATAATATTATCATATAAATATACCTAATTTGGCATTTTAGGGATTCATATTTCTATACTATAGTAACATTACTCTGCCATAGTTCAGTAATTTTCCAGATGGGCACAATATCAATGCGGTATCAAAGAGGAATAGAAGGCACTATAGAAGAAAAGAAAGGTGTATTAAATAATACATAGAATGAGTTAGAAAAGGAATTACAAAATTACAAGTCAACTGTGCTTATAAAGCCTTTGACACTGAGTTTCGAGGTGTGTCAATTTGCAAGGCATAAAGGGTACAAGTGATAAGCTCACATGGTCCATGTGAAAGAAAGATCTAAGTTTTCAGAAAATTAATACTATAATGACCAGATTCATGACTTTGTTATTTCTCATTCATCATTGCACAAACACTGATAGAATGAGTAAAAGATATGTGGGTGAATAAGAAAAAAGCACTTGCTTTCCAAACATGCAGTCTAGAATTCTAGAGATAAATACTATTGCCTGATAAAAACAAAAAGCATGAGGTGATACACTATTTTATTCTGAGCATTAATCCACAGCACATGTGGCTTCAAGTAATATTTCTAAATTACCTCTTTTCTTTGTTTTTCCAAGCACCTTATCTTTTGTTCAAGACAATGTGTCAAGTTTGTTCTTGATGACTGAGCACACTGAAAACAAACAAAAAAAGAAGATTGAAACAAAAGTCTACAAAGTAAGCAGGAGAAATACTGTCCTTCACAAACCTCATGCATTTGGCCAACTCTCATGTTGTGATTTATAAAAATGCCTGATTCTAGCAGTAAAAATCCTCACGCTGTAAGTCCTTCATAGTAACTTGTTGATGAATCAGCTTCATATCATATTTTAGGCTCCTTTATATGGATTAGTTACCCAAATAATTCTCTAATAAATTATAAATGTATCTATATACTGTAATGGGCAAGCCACAGATTAGAATTTCAAATTTCATGAATTTGGATTCAATCTTTTCCCAAAAAATGACAATTCAGAGTATAATGGCTTATAGAAATCAGGTAAGTTTCATGGGTACATTTTAGGCATTTACATAGTATACATTTCTAAAAAGTCATTTTTATAGCTATGCCCATGAACGTGTATATGAGTAAGATTCTGAAGAGTAGCCCTAGCAAAAGTCAGAGGAGTGATAGAACCATCAAGAATAACGAACACATACAGCTAAAATGTGGCAAGTTGATTCCAGAACTAATAAGTTAACTACTTCAATGCCAAATGTGGTGGCTCACACCTGTAATCCCAGCACTAGCCTGGGCAACATAGCGAGACCCTGTCTCAAAAAAAAAAAAAAAAAATTAAAAACTACAGCAGTGCATGGTGGCACACACCTGTAGTCCCAGCTATTTGAAGGCTAAGGCAGGAGGATGGCTTGAGCACAAGAGTCTGAGGTTACAGTGAACTATGATTAGGCCACTGCACTCCAGCCTGGGTGACAGAGGGAGACTCTGTCTCTAAAAAAACAAAAACAAAACAAACAAAAGGAAAAAAACCACCCAAAACCAAACCGAACCAAGAAACTTCAATGACTATGACACAAGTATGTTATAGAGGTGGGCATAGATTATCTGGTACTGTGTAACTTTAGTCAGCTCCTTGAATAAAGCCACTAGCTTATAAATTTAGATTGATTATAAATTATTGGCATAATGAAAAAGTTAACCACCTTTCTTTTTGGACATATTTTTTTCAGAAGTGGGAGTATTCATTTAAAGAAAGCTCAAAAGCTCTGGAAACTACCATCTGCCTAAATTCACTGCCAGCAAAACTGATTTAAATACAGGACTGATTCCTTTACTGTAACTCCGATATTCTTATTACCATCTCATCTCCGAGTAATGTAAATAACACAATGAACTGGGTGGTGACGGTCGCCCCTAAACCTGTGTTCAGTTTCAGGCTCAATAGTTACTGTGGACTACAAAAGTACTTAAAGATATTAATGAACAATGAAGAAATATTTTTGAAACATGTTGCTCTTTGCCCAAAATGTTTACAGGAAAAAGCTCTTTTGCAATCATCATAGGAGTTCAAGGACTTTTTTTCACTAGAAATGATTTATAAGACTGTATTTTTTATCTTTTCTCTGTTTATACTTATGTTTCAGCATTTTAGGGTTTGATGATACTTTACATCTGTATAGATAGTGTTTTTCATTTCCTTGGCCTCTTCTTAGACCTGTGGTATAAGGAAGACCACGTTTTAAAAGAGATGGTCTTCTGTGGGTCAATAAATTCAGAATAATTATATTTGCTCTTGATCTCAAGAAGCTGGTTTGGCTAAGCAGCAAGAGTGACCTCAAACCCCAGGTGTCAAATGTGTTGGGCCCTGTCATCAGACCTTCTGTTTTGGGGGAAGATTTCTAAGAAACTGGACCCACTCTGGATTACAACAGAATAAACATTAAGTATCTTTAATCTGAAAAATGCTACGAGACAGAGATGCAGTGAGACTGGATTTCAAAACAGCGATTCTCACCCACCGTAGGAGTGCATCAAAGTCACCACCGAGCTGGCTAAATACAGATCCTCATGAACAATGGCTCAGAATTTCTAGAAGGGGAGCCAGGACACGTCTGTTTTTAATACATTTCCTAGGTAATGCTGATTCATGCTAAAGTCCAAGATCCTTCCATCCTAGACCATGGTTGGAAACATGAATTTTGGGTCCTCTCTATTTATGATGCAGGCAAAGATCTGAAACCAGCAAACGTTTACATGTCCCTGCCTTCTGGGAATCCAGGTATAGAATGATAAGACAGTGCTTTTTTTTTTTTTCTTCATAAATAATTTTCTCTGGAAGAAAAGTGTAAAATATTTGACCCTTGATTTTTATTTTATAAACAAGAATTACTGAAAAGCTAGTTACTGAATCTGCAAGAGAATCTATTTGTAACTGTAGGAGTACTGATTTCTGAAACTCAGAAGTATACTCAGTTAAAAGTGGGAGAGGAGAGGAGGGAGGAAATCTAGAAAGCACGGTGAATAGGAATGGCTCGTAAGCCTAGAATGTGTCACCAGGGTTTTCACTGGAGATTAAGCAACATTTTATCCTGATGCATATGTCTCAACTGTATATTAAAATGAAGTGAAATAAATCAAACACAAAGGCTTGTGGTAACTTTTCATTTGTATTTACGTTGCTTTCCAGTTGCTAGTGAAATTATCAAATAAAGATTTTTAGTCACTGGTTCTAGTAAGAGTCTGCTTACAGAGCAATTATTCCCTATAAATAATTCCCTATGATTATTGCCTATAAAGTATAATCTGTGTTCAAAGTTTCTAGGCATTTCTTTCTCTACCATAACAGCCATACCAATTTCTAGTATATTTAAGGTCTGACACTACTACATTAAATACCTAAATGAACAAAAGAGTTCCACTTAGTTTCCCATTATACCTTGATTAGCTCAAAAAAAAAAAAAAACTTTAAGAAAGCACTTTACTTCATTCATTCAATTGACAAGTATCTATTGCAATAACTGAAGAAAAATAACAATATCAGTTGTAAATATGTAAACATTTTACTATACTCTATTGCTATCATATGTTCTATTTGTAACCATATCAATATTCTTTTTTACATTTTATACTGAACTAAATTCCTATAAATCAAGAGCAAAATATGGAACCCATGGAATTGGGAGGCCAAAAGTAATTTTGACAGATTTAATCCTCTCATTTTGTAAAAGAAAAAATGTAGCCCAGAGAGGTTAAAGACAATGCACCAGTTACCCAGATACTTTTTCTGTGTTAAATAACATTGATTAAAAATACAGAGCACATCTTAGCTAAAAAAAAAAAAAAAAAAAAAATCAAACTAGCTGTTTCTACTCTTAATCAATGCACAATTAACTGCTAGAAATGCTACTGTGTAGTCAGTTCATCCCGTGGAAATGTGTTCTTACCTCTGGATGTTCCACAGAACTTTCTGCAGCACTCATTCTAGATGTGTCCTGTACAAGATATGCCACGGAAGCCGTTTTTCCTGGAGTCTTGGAAAGCATCAGAAAAAAAAGAAAAAAAAAGAGGAAAAAAGTCTCTTATGGTATCTTTTAGGGTGAGAGCAAATATACAAAATTTTAAAAGCATGCATCACAGTTAACTCATGATAAAAGATAATAGCAATCGTTTTTCATTAAAAATAAACAGAAGTAACTCTGGATATGAATTACACAGAATAAGGTTGTAAGCACAGCAGCTGTGATTTTAACTTTTCTTCTCTTCCAAATAGGGATTTCCCAGGATGTCTCAAACGGGCAGGCTGTGACTAAGGCCTGGGGCAGATCAGCCTTGCTCTGGTATGTAAATTGTCATTCTTCCTTTACTGGCAGTTTCTCCCACTGGAGGAGGAAGTTCACTACCACAGAAAGCCTGGGCAATCCAAGTCTTTACTCAGTAGCCTAACTGCTATAAATTCATTGTGTTTCCCAGAGCAATTAGGTAACTGCTGAGTTTTTGACACCTCGGTTACTTGTTTCCCTAATGGCAAGGTTTTCTGGCAATGCCTTCTAAATATGAATTTAGATTTGTAGAACTTAATGAGTCATACATAATTCTATAAGTGCTACCAATTCTTATGCACCTAAAAGAGAAAATAATTTATTGCAAAAAAAAAGGGGGGGGGCATTGTTTGCTAATCTAATCTTCTTTATTGGCAGAATGTTTAAACTTGGTTCTCAAGTTTAAGACTATCTTCTGGCCGTTGGGGTGGCACACACCCGTAATCCTAGCACTCTGGGAGGATGAGGCGAGGCGGGCAGATGGTTTGAGCTCAGGAGTCCAAGACCAGCCTGAGCAAGAGCGAGACCATGTCTCTACTAAAAACAAGAAAGTAGCTGGACAACTAAAAGTATATACAGAAAAAATTAGCCGGGCATGGTGGTGCGTGCCTGTAGTCCCAGCTACTGAGGAGGCTGAGGCAGGAGGATCGCTTGAGCCCAGGAGTTTGAGGTTGCGGTGAGCTAGGCTGATGCCACTCTAGCCCAGGCAACAGATTGAAACTCTGTCTCGAAAAAAAAAAAAAAAAAAACTATCTTTTCTGTAGGCCAAGTCCAGATTTTCTCCATGACTCAACTGAAGTTAAATCTTTTTTTTTGCACTAACATTGTAGCTTTCATTAGCTGGCTCCTGTCATTTTGCAGGGCCTCAGCGTGATGGCACACCAACAGGTAGTGCAGGTAAAAACACAGAAATGAGACATACTTAGGGGTAGACAAATGAACCACGATGGAGCAGAAGACTTCATTCTGGACCTGGAGGAAAGGGAGCAATTAAAGAGGCAAAGAATACAAAGATGTAAAGAACGTGTTGCTGAAAAGAGAAAAGAAAGAATTTACAGTCCATCACTAAAAAATTTTCATTAGACTTGCCTATGAAACATCCCCATAGATGTAGGATAAAGCCTAAAACTCCTAAAATTCAAACTCTCCAAAAAGGAATCATTTATTGGGTATCCAAGATTTGGCCCTCTCTTTATCCTTATTGTCTCCCCCCACTTTCCAGCTCTCCCCTGCGCTCCAGCCATACCGACTGACCTCCATTTCCTGAAAGGAGTCAGTTCTACACCCCGCGCCCTTGTGCATGCTGTTCTTACCACCTTCAGCATCCCCTCTCCGGGCCCTCCCTCCAAACTGGTGACCTGGAAAATCTAGTTAATGCTCCTCTTGTCCTCTGACCCTCTCTTGGCCTTCAGTAACCAGCCCAAAAGAGCACTTCACTAAGCATTCCAATGTTGTGTTTGTGTGTTCCTGTGTTCACCTCTGCATCCGCAGTACCCTGGCAATGAGCTGCCTGGCGCACAACAGGTGTTTAGCACGTCTTGCTGAATGACTAAATGGATGACTAGTTTGTGTGTGTGTGTGTGTGTGTGTGTGTGTGTTTACTTTCTGCTGGTTTCTTGGTCTGTTTCAGGGGTACACTTGAGTGAGAAGGAGTGAATTCGCCTTAAGGCAGTATCCAAAACTACAGGTGGGAATCAAATGGTTCACTCCGAGTTCTAAAAGTAAAAGTTATAACTCACATAGGATCTGACTTTAGCGGGTAGAAGCAGAGATTTCCTGGAGAGTGACACTTTATCAACACTAAAACTGCTCATGAGAAAAGAAAAAAAAACCCTAACGTGAAACTATTTTTCTCCTGAAATGCACACACACACACGCGCGCACACGCACACACATAGTTGTATATAGTTTAAGGTTTCCTTCAGCCTTGTCTTTGTATTTGGTAGTAATAACCCAGTGGATGTGGGAAGACCTAGAAAAGTGGTTTGAAAGAACATTTTCTTGCCAGGAAATATCCTTGGCATTGCTGTCTCTTGGGTCTCCCCTGTGAAGGTATTCTGATGCACGCATCGCTGGGTGTGATGGCTTCTATTGAATGGAAATCCTACACCTTTGTATTTCCATTACAATTCCTTTGCCTCTTCTGCTATGCAGATAGATGAACAACAAACAGATTTTTCTATTAGCTCAAAGAGCCATGTGGTTATTTATGAATAAAAAATAACTCTTCCAAAGAACCCCAAGTTTGGTTTGAGAGAAATGAAGTACTCCATGTTCCCAAGGCTATTTTTAAAAGTCCTCATTTCTGAAGTTACCAAAATATTATGTATTTTATTATAGTTATACATAGGGGGAAAAAATCACAAAAAGAAATGTGATGCAAGAAAGGAACAAGGAACTATACCAGTCACTGGTCGTAGTTGACATCCTTCTAGTTGACAATACTTCTTTCAAAATCAGTCCAAGAGGACAGCATCACATCTCTATAAATTCTTGGAGGCATTTTTTGGCAAGTAAAATAAACATGGCTTTTTTCTTTATAGCCTTATAGAATAGGAATTAAAAAATTTTCTTTGGGCCTGACATGGTGGCTCACATCTGTAATTCTAGCATTGTGGGAGACTTAGGCAGGAGAATCACTTGAGGCCAGTCGTTCGAAGCCAGTCTGAGCAACAATAGCAAGACCCTGTCTCTACAAAAATAGTCATGTTATAGGTGAATATTTCACACATTCCTATTTTGGTTATGTGATCAACATTATTTAACCTCCATACAAAACTTCCTTTAAAATGTTTTCACTTAATCTTGGTTAATATTTAATAAATAAACAATATAAACATTATACATGCTATAGGGAGATTTTTCAAAGGCATGGATCTTCAATAATATTTCTTACACTTTCATAGTGCTATAGAACATATTATAAGATAAATAAATGTCTTGAAGTATTAACTGATGACCCCCAAAACACATACTACTCTTTATTTTATGTAACCAATCCTTTCACTGCTCCATAAGAGATATTTTTTGCCTCAAGCCTGATTAACTTTGTCATACATTTCCCATTTTTAGGGGAAAAGGCCTCCATTTGGCCTTTGAGTTTCAAAATTGACTCTCCAAACTCTAGAGACCATTCTGCAGACCAAACCTTTGAATTGCAAGAGCTAGTGTTTTCAAAATAATTTCTTTTTAATTTCAAAGTTAATTGCTTTTGTGCAATTTATTTTAAAATGTGTCAACAAGTAGCATGGGTCAATGGATGAAAAGAGGGGTGGATAAGTGGATAGCTCCGTGGCGAACAAATTGCATAAAATGTTAGTGGCAGAATTTAGAGGGTGGGTATATGGGTGCACACCGTAGAATCCTTTCACATTTGCTGTATGCTCGAAGTTTTAATATAATATAAAATGTTAGGGGAAAAGTCTGAATCAAGGCATAAAAATTTATGCCATGAACAACTGATGGGGGAAAAAAAGGTAGAAAAAGAGTCGATATAACCTATCCTTACCATTTCCACCATCATCCCCAGAAGAGTAGATGTAGGTTTCATAGCCTGGGGAAAATTTTTTAAAAGATGGGGTGAAGGGAAAAGAATATTGCCTGAACATTGCTCAGTCCTCATGAGGAGACTAAGCCCTGTCCCCCTCCTTCTAGGGACTCAACCATCACCTATCAAACTGCCCAGATTGAACATCAAAGAGCAGAGCCAGCTTCAGCCTTTCTCCCTCGGTTAAGTCCAGGGAAGGTTCATCTTGAAGAGAATTTCCCTTCCCCAGCGTGTGATGGGGCCCAGTGACATGTCTAGGTAGAAAGGCCCTGAGACAACTCAACGCCCAGAGTGGTGTGGAAGTAGAGCCAGAAATTTCCTATATTTCTGGGAAGGATGCAAAAGTGGCTAACTGAGGTTTTAATGGATTGAAGGAAGTCTCGCATCAAACTGAAGACAAAGTAGCATGGACCTAAGGATAGGAGATGTGCCGAATGACCTGGAAGCATAAGTGATTGCCACCATAAGGGTAGATTACATCTGTGCCAATGGGTGGTGTCACACGGTAGGTTATTGAAACCCTGACGCCTCCACACTGAAGTTGCCAGAAAAATACAGAACATCCAGACAAATTTGAATTTCTTATAGACAACAGGTTTTTTTATGTAGGTATGTCCCATACAACAGTCTGTTGTTTATCTGAAGTTAAGTGAGCATTCTGTATTTTTCTTTGCTACATCTGGCAATATTCCACCCAAATTATTTCACAAGATCTGCTGCACACACCCCTAGATATCATTATGGTGAGAAGGAAAAAGGGAGAATTCCTGCATGTGACTGCACAGAAAATATAAATTGTCTGAGACAACACTAAAGTGACTGATATTTTCTGTAATCAACTAGATTAAATTATTTTCTAAGGGACAGGATGGAGGTCCTAGATTAAAACTAAATTTAGTGTAGTAAACAAAGAAAATTACAATCATGTAAAAATCAATTCTGTGGTTTGAAACACTTTATCTGCTTCAAACTTCACAACAGTGCTATGAGGTTGTCAGAAGAGGCATTTTTGATGTCAATCAGGACAAAGTTGAAGTTTAGAGATGTCAGTGACTTGCCAGTGACTTGTCCAATGACTTGATCATTACATGACAAGTGAGTGACTGAACCAATATAAGAACTCACTCATTAATAGTTCTCCTGGTTTATTATCCCCCAAAGAACT